CCGGAGCTCATTTCATCAGTAGCCTGTGCTATTTCCTCTTTATTTATTTCTATATTTAAGTCAGCCCTATCATCTCAGATAACTAGGATATGTACCCATTCAAAAACTTGTCTATTTCATTTTGGTCTAAATTTTCTTGGGTATCATATAATTCCCGATAGTAATTTTTAAAAGTGTTACTAATATCTCTAGGATCTATTAAAGTTTTGTCCTGTGTTACAATAGATGTAACCAATGTTGTTGTTTCAAGCTGTTTGATTTGCCAATCTAAAGGTCATCCAGCTTTATCCCCCTGTTCGTAATCTGATTGTTTTAGTCTTAAAAACTGGATGCAGCACGAAAACTGGACTGTTTATCATATTCCACTCATAGAAGCAACAGTTCTTTATTCAACTCTATTGTTTATTTGGAAAACCCTCTCCTAAGTTATCTATAATTTAATTTCATGATTCTGCCCATTAATCTTGGCATTCTTGGATTTGTTGCCCATGTAGCTAGCATCCCATCTAATGCATGCTGTTGTTTGATTAGTATTTAACTGAAAGAACTCCTCAATCTGTAACTCAATGTATTTAACAACATCCTCATCTTACAGCCATTTATGCTGAAAACACCATCTGGGGGGGGGGGGGTCCCTGGTTACTTTCACATCACTGTAGATAAGACAACATGGTGCATGAGCTGAAATTACTATGCTATCATACATACATATCCTGATGCATGCTCAATAAAGACGAAACGTTTCTACATTTTTTTTTAAAAATTTTTTTATGAATGTCCAGAGGACCAGACTTTAACATGTTAGATACCATACATACGGTTTTGAATTTTGGATATTAATTCTGATGAGATTAACCAATAATCTAAATGTGAGTATGTCTGAACTGTTGCTGAATAACATAAGTAGGCTTTATTTTCTTGGTGGATATCCCTAAAGATGTCCACCAGTCTACGATCTTTTATAAACCTCTGTATAATTGTTCTAGTTATTTTTACATTTTTATAACTAGTTCAATGTGTTACATGAGGTAAAAGGAAACTATTAATTGCTGTTATTAAAGCATTAGACAGGGTAATGACACTTACTGATATATTTATAACTTGTTCAAAGTGTTCCACTTTACTTGAGGTAAGGGATAGTATTACTGACACAGTTATAATGGTGTCATGACTGCCAAAGTTAAGACTAACAACAAATGTCAGGGTATTGTAATGTAACTTTTTAAAGTTTGATAATTAATACCTGTTATAACATTTATGACAGGTTATGATTTCTTGGTTAATGTGAAGTTGTCGTGACAAAGACATTTAAACAATGTCAACTTTTCACTAAAGGTGTCATAATTTACCGAATGACACTTAATGACAACAGTCATAAACATTCATAAAGACTTGTTTATGTTTAAGACAGGTGTTATGTCATGTTTATGACAGTGTTATGCCAGTCATATGAACACCACTTCAAATAAAGTGTTGCTGATTTTTACTTCCAGTCTAACTGGCAATATCATCACTTTGGCCTCCAAATGCTGAGGGCAACAAAGTCAAATCAATAAACATATCTTAGTAATAGATGTCCAAATAGAAAGAGCAGATCTGGGTAATGCAACTTGTTGCAAAGCTTGTTGTCACACTCTGCTGCTGCTATCATTACGTCTAACTTTAAACACTTTGGTCTAAATTGCTTTTGGTTGGTGACCCTGAAACCAGAAGCAAACTGGGGATACAGCGAGTCAAAGTGGCATCCAAAACCCCACTGAAAGTATCACACAGCAGGAAGCACTGAACTACATGGGTGGATGATTTTCTATTTATTGTTATTGAATGAATTCATAAAACTATTTATTTGATCACTGGTAAATGGGGATGTGGTGGCGCAGAGGTTAGAGAAGGCAAGCCTGTGATCGGAAGGTCACTGGTTCGATCCCCTGGACTGACAACAACAAAATGTGGGTGGGAAAGGTGAAGCACCCACACCTGCTTCCATCATCATTTGCCCTACATAGTGCCCTGGGCCCTTGAGCAAGGCTCTTAACCCCCACCATCTGTTCCCCCGGGAACCCTAGAGAGCAGCTCGCTGTAGTAACTCAGCGGTCTGTGGCTGCAACAGGAAGGACATCCTGCGTAAAAACAATTGCCAAGTTTTTGTACAAGTTAGTTCACTGCTGCTCCCCCTGAAGAAGAGAGCAGCCGAAAGAAAAAGAAAAACAAATAAAATAAAAACAACAGATCACTGGTAATGTTTTAAAAGCAGCAAAATCATCCAAAAAAGTTGAATGAGAAGTAGTTTTCAGATTATATAAATAAGTAAATTACTATGTTTTCACCTAGAGCTCATTATGGAGTAGACTGCAGGGACGATTTGCATAAAATCTAAAATTTTATATTTATTTAAAACACAGCATTTAATTTTTTCTGTGACATTTAGATTTGTTTAATCAATTAGTATGTTCACCCACCATTTCATCTTTATTTTCCTACAAAGTGAATCTGAAATTTCAGGAAACTTTCTTCATTTCTAAAGACCAAAAAATATATAAAAGCAGAAAAGAGCTGCTACTGGTACCAGAATGATAAATTAGGGAATGAGAATATACATACTGGTAGATGTGCAAGTTTTTACAAGTATTTCCAAATAAGGGCAACAAAATATACTTTGTTAACAAATAACTAATCACGTTCTAAGCATTAACTAACAGTGAACACTTTTTATTATTTAGACTCCTGCTTAGTTCATAAAAAAGATAACCATTACCAAGTAACCATTTCATTCTTAGTCTCATCATTTGGAAAGGCTTTGCTGATGATTGCCAAGGTTTTTTTTATGGTTAGGTTCGACTCATTTTGACTCAAAAGAACCATTCTTAGAAAATGTTTTTTGCCAGTCAAGTATCCAATTATCTAATCATGAATTAATAATCTTTCTTCATCATTAATGGACCATAAGTTAACATTTTGTGAAACTTTGTCCTTGTTAGTTCATGATTAACTAACCATGTGTTAATGATTAATCATGAGTTTAAATTTTGTGGATTCTACAGTGATGCGAGTCATCAGTTCATGATTTACTCACTGTTAGACAAAAACTTTCTCACAGTTAAAACTCTTTGTGACACTTACAGATAAGTAAGCAGGTCTTCATTATGATTAGTTCATGATGACCTAACCATCTGTTAAACTGTTAAACCTCCAAAAAATGTGGAGTTTATGGTTTGTTGAAATTATTGACTCACCACAAGCAAAGAAAGTGGCAATGATGAGGTTATAAACAGCTTATTAGGTAGAGTAGTTTAGGATTTGGTCATCAGTATCAAAGCACATTTCTGTGGCTCATATTTGAAAGTGCTATTTTTTTATTTAACTATTTTGAGAGAAGTTTGCAGATATTGAAAAGAGTTGCTCGTCTGCTGTAGAGCAGGGGTGCCCACACTTTTTCAGCAAGCAAGCTACTTTTAAAATGACCAAGACCAAGTGATCTACCTACTATAAAAATACCAAACATATACTTATTTATAAACATATTAAGTATGTTTTATTTGTTTTTCATTCTTGTTTTTAGTATTTTAACATGTTTTATATGGCACCTTGATTTATTGTTTGATAATGCTACTTTTATTTTAATTGCATTTTACTGTAGTTTATTGTTGTCTGTACTTTATTTGTTGTTTGTCTACAACAGGTTGTAAATGAGTCCTCGTGACTCAATGAGACAAACCTGGATAAATAAAGATTGAATGAATGAATAAGTCCCAGCTCACTGTGGATGCAACATAATAAATGACAAAACCCAAAGTTTGTGTAAAAAATTAAAAGTTGACTATTTTTACTGTCCGTGAACAAAATAATAAACAAAATACAGCAACAACTTGCGTTCTTCACACAAAGAAACTGAAAGCAACAAGAATAACTTCATGTTTGAAAAATAACCTGAAAACTTGAGAACAAAAGTGAAAATTTCAAAACAAACTAAATACAGCAGCCCTGACAGCAGCTGGCTTTTAACCGTAACCGTCTTTCTTGATACCTGGAGAGCTTTGATTGAAGACTATATTTCTGGTTTGTTTTTAAAGTCTCGAAGCAACAAGTCAGCTGCTTCAACAAATGCCTCTTTTACCATCTCTCCGTCTTGAAAAGTCTTCTTGTGCTTAATTATTAAAGTGACACACCCAGAATGCTTTGCTGCTGTAGTCAGCTGTAGGAAAAATGACTGCTGTCCAGATAACTGGGATTTTAGTTCCTTCACCTTTTTCTTTCTCAGCTCACTTTTCAGAAGAAAGTCGATGTTGTAGTTTTTATGAATACAGTCTGAAAATGCCGCTCCGGTAAACTTGCAGATGAGGCAAATGCACTTCGAATATGACATTGTGAAAACAAAAAAAAAGTCGTCCTCCCATTCAGTTTGGAAATGGTAGGTTTTTGGCATCTTACTTGGTCCAGCTCCCCAACTCATTTTATTCCCTTTCTTGAATTTCGATTAGAAGAAATAAACTGGATGCTATTACTAGGCAACTGGTTTGTTTTTAGCTCTGTTGTATGTACATGCGTGGTGACCTATGTGTCAGAAAAATCTGGTCTCACATTGGCTAACCTGTATGTCAATCAAGTGACAAATTGCACAGTGAGGATGGATTCAGTAATAATAATAGTAATAATAATAATAATAATAATAATAATAATAATAATAGGCTGACATCTATTTAAAAAAATTAAATTTAAAAAAAGTCTGAAGTCTATTTCGCCATGCAATCTACTCAAATTGCCTTCGCGATTGACCGGTAGATCGTGATGGACGTATTGGGCACCCCTGCTGTAGATTATCATACTGGCTGTTCCTGACAGCAACAACTTAAAGCGTGCTTTGCTTTATTAAACTTAAAATGTCTCCAAACTGAAGCACTTGTCCATGAATCAAACACAAGGTTTGGCTAATGTTGAAATAAAGTACTGTTAGGTGGTTACCAAATTGGTGGGACTTCTTTAAATGCCCTTTCTTTGCTTACCTCTCTTCCTGCTGTAGTCCTTCCCTTTCTTCGACTTTTTCTTGTCCTTATGGCGTTTCTTCCTTCTGTGCTCACTTGAGGCAGCTGACACTACTGAAGAGTCGGACCCCTCAGAATCAGTGTCGCTGCTGGCAGAGGAACAAGAAGAAGCCCTTTCTCTCTTTCGAGATTTATTTTCCGAATGCTGCACTTTGCTTGATTTAGGAACTGTGGACAGAAAAATTAAACCATAATAAACAATGATCTTTGTTAATAAAAGCTACAAACAGCTTCAGTTCGGTCACTGACCTTCAGTTGTTGAACAGGGTGTAGCGAACGCTGGCATGGAGCGAATGCTTGTGAGGTTATCGATCTGGCTGCGCAGAAACTTGCGGTCCTGCATCAGGTCCTCCACCTGTTTCTCCAGTGTAGTGATGCGTTCCTGTTTGCTCTCCAGCATGCACTGCAGCTTCGTGATGGTCAACAACACCCTCGGGGGTAAGCCCTCAAAATTTAAAGCTGTGGGAAACAAATTCCATCAGGTGAGGATATTTAAGCTGCAGAAAGGTAATCTCATAACTAAAGACTCAACGGGTCCTACCAGACATGGCACTGCTGGGCGTGTTGTCCTGAACAGCATCTGCTGAAGCTCCAGTTTGGAAGTTTTCCCATTTGATAATGCGGAGGTCGTCCTGCTCCTGCTTCAGCCAGCTCGTGGAGCCGAGTCGGTCTTTGGTCCTTATGGAGCTGGAGTCAATCTCTATGCAAGGGGAGTAACTTGACGACTCCTGCTGCCACATCGACATCTTTTTAGACCTGAGCATGGATAAAAGGTGGGTTTGAAATACTTGGACTAAAAGTTTTTAAACTCTTGTGCAAGATATTCAGAAAGTAAAGGCCCTGTCACACAGTGCTGTATAGCATCGGTGTACGCCAACACATGACTAAAAACGACAAGAACGCTGTTGTAAGTTGCATGAGTTAGGTTTAAGTTTTGAATAAGTTATCAGCACCCTGATATACTGGACTGTCTCCATGATCCTCCATCTGTCTGCATGGAGTGAATTCTACAGACTTGTTTGTTTCCGCAGGGAAAGCATGGATGTTCTCCATCTGCCAGACTGGTTCTGGAAGGTAGTCTGGGAGGGCAGCTGCTGCGGTCATTATTACCATCAAGCTGCTAACTAGACCTGCTAATGCTGGTAACAAGATCCTCCACCTGCTTGCATGGACCGAACTCTATGTACCCGTTCAGTTCCGTGGGGAAACCTTGGACGTTCTCCATCTGCCAGACTCAGTTCTGGAGGGCAGTCTAGGAGGGCAGCTGCTATGGTCCTTGTTATCATCATTCTGTTGACGGGACCTGCTAACAAAACCTGCTAACGCTGCTAACAAGACCACACCGCTAACCGAACCACACCACTAACAGTACCATGGTGCCAAAGGGACCATGTCGCTAAGATAACTCACTGTCATCAGAACCACTCCGCCAATTGGACCATGCTGCTGTAGATTTATTTATTTTTCACTTTTGGCACCTTGTTTCTGTATTTTTGTTGCATGCTTTGAATAAATCCTAGTTTATGTTAGTTTAGTTTATGTTAGTGCTCACGTTAAGCGTGTAAATAATAGCCAAACCAAACCTATGAGAATTGTGCTTCTGTTTCTTCGGTGTATTGTTTAGCCCTATTACCCTAAAAATTACCCTGAAAGTGTTTTTAGAGGTGATCTCTACCTAATGGCCATGGCTAATGGACTTTATCAAACACAAAACCCGCTATAACTCAGTCATTGCTACACAAAATAAGCTAAAGTTTGGTGTGCTCATAGCTAAGAGTCATCTCCAACACAATTTCCAAGTAGTAACAGATCACAAGATCTTTATTTAAAAGTGGATGATATGCATTCTTCAGGAATGCTGCTTTTATTAGAAGTTTTGTCTCTGCAGAACATCTTACAGTTTTAAACATCAATAACATCAAGCAGTAGACTGTGCATTTTGGATGTTTGCTATCAACAACTGGCTGCCAATAAACTTGATTTAAGCTGTTTCCATGGCAGCAAGGCAGCTCTTATAATTATGAACTCTATGTGCTGTAATTAAGAGATGAAGACATTATAATTACTAGCTCCATCTCAATGACAAGGTTCTCACAAATATACAGTATATAGAGTGTTGTGGATTTATCACAGAAGTTTACAGTCATATGATATAAAACAAAGGCGGTAAGCTAATCCCATAACTTGTCATTTTTATTTTTATCATGCCAAGTGTAAGCAAGCAGCAGTGCTCGGTGTCTGGATGGGACTAAACTGATTTTGTACAAAGTGCTTTAGTTCCACAATATTGTTCTGCGGCATGAAGTAACTATTTTAAGTTATTATTGTTTTCTTAGGAGTCATTAAAACTCAACTTAACTTGCACTATGGACTTTACCAAACACTGTAGATGGATGAATGGATGGATGATGGATTGATGGATGGACGAAATAATAATAAAATGTCCTGAAGAGCTAAAACAATGTTTTCAGGCTGAGCGAACTCTAAAAGACTGACTAGTTGTTTTATTTTATGAATAAAATAAACAGTATTTTATGCAGTTAAATAAGGTGGTTGATTTTTCCCTTAGGGTCATGAATAGTCAAAATTATTGGACAATAGAAGGGTTAACCTGGAAGCTTCAGAATTTGTCCAGATAAAACATCATTCATGTCAGATTATTACTGTCACACACCCACGGATTGGATAAAATCTGGATTTAGCTCATAATCATGACTTTGTATCTGAAACTATGAAATATCTAATTGTTATAATGTTTAAAATCTAATAAATCTAATAGGTATGTCCTAACGAGTCTGCTGGCTTCCTTCCTATGCTCTTAACAGAACAAATAAAAGCACATAAGAAACACTTTTTTATTGAAAGTAACAAATGTACAATCAATGCGTGGTGACACGTGGTAGATGCCATGGATGGAGCAGGGGCAGAAGCTGGGGAGCTTTGAGACGAACCGTCACATGCCGGGAGACATTCTGGAATTTAAAAAAAAACACACAACTTCAGAACACACGCAACAACATGTAGCTGCAGATCAAAATAGAGTGAAAAACAGGAACATAGCACAGTTAGCATTTTTGCTAATTAGCTGTCCTATTACATTCAGGGGCAATGGCGTCAGCCTCTTTGTCCAAAATGTGCTCAAACCCGACAGGATGAGTAACTTAAAATATGCTTAAAGTTAGAAAACACTCACCATCATCCATCATTGATTCCAGCCGAGGTTTAGCTTCTCCTAGCATTGCTTCGGTGTTCACTGGTAGCCGTAAGAAGCCATCAGCTCTGAGACCTCTTTAAACACTTTTTTGTTGCGAGTCCCTCCATTTAGCTCGCTCTGAATTTTGTTGTCGGCCACCAAGCACAAAAACGCCTGCACTTCAGCATTAGACTACGGTGTTGTCATTATTCTTTTTAAAATCTGCAAAATAGGTCCAGTCGCTCCTCCAAGTTCGAGTTATTGCAATTGGTGGATCGAGTTGTGAAAGTTTCTCAAACAACCAGTGACTCCACCCCCTGACCACTCAGTGACTGATAGTGTTCTGATGTCACGTTTTAAGGCCAGCACGGTATGCTTGGAACCACAGAGAAGTTGGTCCTGAAAAAGGGACTAGTTTCATGAATCATTACTAGTGGAAAAGCCTTGAAACCCTTGGAACCTTGGACATGCTTAGCACAGCATGTCAAGTCCAAGACTCGACAACAAAACAAGTTTAACTTACTAATAACTCATCAACACCATCACTATTCCAATAACAACACATTCAGTGTAGGACAACACTCCAGTAGTCAATTACATGCCAGGGAGACAGAAAAATGGGTGAAGAATTTATCTGACAGACAGCTCACCCAGCCGGAGACAGAGATTCTTGGCAAGGGACTGAACTTTGCAGTTGCACCAAGTAGAATTCCTCTGGTGGAGATGATCACAGCCACTGAGTCAGCCATCCGCAACAACAAAATTAAAGAGGGTGAAGCAGAACAGCTCAGAATCAAAGTTTCATCCTGCCTCAGCAATGCCAAACCACCACCTTCCAACATGAGTAGAGAGGAGAGGGATGCACTCACCACTCTTAGCAAGGACAAAAACATCATCATTCTCCCAGCAGACAAAGGAAGGTGCACAGTGATTTTGAACCAGAAAGACTATCATGAGAAAGTTATGACACTCCTTAGTGACTTAACCACTTATGAACATCTGAAAAGAGATCCAGGAAGTGGTTACAAGAAGAAGTTAATAGATTGCCTGAAGAATTTGGAGCAGGACAAGGCTATTGACCGTTTTCTGTACCACAGACTGTACCCAGGGGAGGCCACACCTAGTCTGTATGGTTTACCTAAAATCCACAAACAAGGTGTACCTTTAAGACCAATCGTTAGCATGATTAACTCAGTCACTTACAATGTTTCCAAATATCTGGCGTCTGTACTCATCCCTTTAGTTGGCAGCTTAGAACACCACATACAGAACACCATGGACTTTGTGGATAAGGTGAGGGAAGTCATCGTGGAGACTGATGAAACAATGGTCTCTTTTGATGTCACATCACTCTTTACATGCATTCCTGTTGATGATGCAGTAGAGGTGGTCAGTTTAAGATTAAAATCAGACACCACTCTGAGCAGCAAGACCACGCTTTCCACAGAACAACTGTGTCAACTCTTGAAACTGTGCCTGCAGACAACCTACTTCACATATGAGGAGCAATATTATAGACAGAAACATGGGTGTGCTATGGGGTCTCCAGTTTCTCTTATTGTTGCCAACCTGTACATGGAGGAGGTAGAAAAGAGAGCCTTGATGTCCTTTTCAGGGACACCACTAAGACATTGGTTCAGGTATGTTGACGACACCTGGGTTAAAATTAAATCTCAGGAAGTCCAACATTTTACTGACCACATCAACTCTGTGGATAAATACATCAAGTTCACATGAGAAGATGTAAAAAATGGCAGGTTGGCTTTCTTGGACTGTGAGGTCTCAGTCTCTGATAGAGGACTTTTGCAAACCGAGGTGTACCGCAAACCCACCCACACAGACCAGTATTTGCAGTTTGACTCCCATCACCCTTTGGAGCACAAGTTAGGAGTCATCAGGACTCTGTATCACAGAGCAGACAGCATCCCCACTAACTCAGGAGCCAGGCAGAAGGAGAAATCCTACACAAGACAGGCTCTAGAGTAGGGGTGCACCGATAAATCGGCCGGCCGATCGATCGGCCCCGATTTCCTTAATTTGGGGAGATCGGCGATCGGCCGATCTTTAAATGAGAAGCCGATTTTATCCACCGATCGTAGCTGCCTCTGGAAAGTTCTGAAAATCAGCTGCTGTCCCCTTTTGCTCCACTGTGAGAGCTCACACACAGGTCACTCGGAGCAGCCATGTCGTCGGTTTGGAAGTTCTACGCTGTAAAAGAAAATTAGCCAAAGATCGCAATTTGCAATTCGTGTAAAGCCGAAGTAAGTCGTGGTGGAGCCACCACCAAAACCTTTAATACAACAAACCTCGTTCGCCATTTAAGAAATCACCACGCCGCCAAGTATGCAATGTTTGAAGAGAGCAACCAAGCTAAGGCTAATGCTAAAGCTAGCGCTAACAAAGAGGCAGTCGGTGGGTCGCTGTTAGCTTTTATGAGCAACGAAAAGAGCAAAGCTACCACAAGGAAAGTGATGGAGTTCATGGCATTAGACGACCAGCCATTTTCAGTCGTTGAGGACAAAGGTTTTAGAAGCTTGATGCAGCACGTGAGCCCACGATATAA